TTTCCCCGCCTATATTAGTCCATGACATCAATTCTAATCCAGACACTACAATTTCGTTCGTGGCTGCTAACCAGCCACACTGTCCCTTTTATGTAACAGAACGAATCCTCGATGCGATGTGCATGTGATTTCATCTGTAGCAAATGCAGATTTACACGCAGCTTCTCCCGCCGATGTTAGAATCTTCGTCCAAAGTCAACAAAATGATGCCGCCGAGGGGAATAAAGTTGGACGAGTATTTCGAGGCTGCCTGGAAATCACCCCACGACGCGGCCAACTTAGCATGTATCTTTTTTTTTTTCCCACCTAATTTGCCAGGCTATGATAGTAAACATGAGGGTACGAGACGTAGTCAATACTGCGCGAGCTGAAATCCTGAACTTGGCCTTGAGTGTGTGGCAGAAAACTCTCGGTTCCGATGCGCTTTGCTTGACCTTTGTCAATACTTGGCCATCTCCTGACACAAATGACACGAAACCTGAAAGGTAGTGTGAGAGAGATCAGGCACGCAGCTCAGTGAAGTTCCCTCAGTGTTTTCAGGCTTTATTTCCGTTCCTTCGCTGCCAGACAGATGATCGGTCGCTTGATGGACCGTGTCGTTGAGGTCGCAGGTCAACCCCCGTACGGGGGTAAGGCGGGGGTTATGGGGCGGATTTCATATGCAAGAAAGAAATGAATGGCTAAATTATCTTGCCCCCCTGGGGGATCAACTTTGTAACAGCGACTGTACTTCGTGATGCGACGGCCCTGGCGGCGACGCGGCTCGCGCTACCGTGTCAAGTTCGCAAAATCGGACGGCGATTTCCCCGGTATGCTGAGGGGCTTTACAATCCCTTGACAGTTCCGCAATCTTGGCAGCCGGAGGCCCGCGGAAGGCCCGGAGGTAGTCGAGGTGCTGGGAGTATGGCCTCTTGGCACATGGTATAGAAGGGGCCCTTGCCCAGAAACCCGCCTTCAGCAGCGTCTCTCTCTGTACGAAATAGCCAGATTTTTATAGACTTCATTTCACGGCGTTTTTGGAAAAAAACGGGGTGAAAGGTCTATAATGTTCTACTACTTGTGTCATGTTACATAGATAACCAGTTCATCACGTCATCTTCCGCAGCAAGTGCCGGACATCTGCCAACACGCAAGACCTCGTCCTGAATTTGACCCGACAACCGCACGATACTTGCCGTGGCCCCCTGCAATGCGAGATGGGCTTGTCGCACTTCGCCGCTGGACCGGAAGGGATGCATCGTGGCCGGTCCTGAGGCCGCTCGATACCTCTTGGTCCTTCGTGATTCATCAGTAATAGCCTCTTTGAGTAAAATAGAAGATGGACACTCAC